TTCTGAAGTAGATACAAACCAAAATATTATATACCTTTTTTATTATTCCACTGTCTGCCACAGAGTAGCTTTAATATACGTATGCTTGAATGAAATAGACAAAGCAGGCCAGGTGTGGTGGCTCACACCTATAATCCCTGCACTTTGGAAGGCTAAAGCAGACAGTTCACTTGAGCCCAGGAGTTCAAGACCAGCCTGGGCAACATAGCGAGACCCTGTCACAATAAAAATAAAACTGAGATAAAAAAAACAGAATTCCATGTTCAAAATACTCCTTCTTTCCTTCCTGAATATATCATTATGACACTTTTCTACTTCTTAAATATGGGGAATTATCATTAGAAATTTGTATGTTGTGACCAACAGTTGAATAACTGAAAAATCAGTTAAGCACATTTAATTAAAATTATATACATAGGCCTTAAATATTTTATTTTGAATTAAAACATTTAAGTAAGCATTCATTCTTCTGTATTTTGAGATACAACTAAATCCCTTCTTGGAGACTGTGTTTGCTAAGTCTCACACTGTCTTTGTTACAAACCCTTTTCTATAATTATTATCCATCCATTCACTTTTGGAAATTAAAGACGTTTATGAAACTAATTGATTAAATGATCCTTCTAGATGTTTCCCCTGTTTTGTTTTAACAGTTATCTCACCTATTCCAAATTCTACAGTAGGTTGTTTTTCGTGTGTTTTATTTTGAGGGTAAGGGAATGGCTTCATTTTTATCCAGTCATTTACTTTTCATTGGAAAATAAATTTTTTTTCACACTCATGTTTGTTGGGTTAGGTAATATTTAATTGAATTACCCAATTATAGTTACAAGTACAACTAGCATGAACAGTTTCAGAACTGACTTTTGTTAAGCATGCAAGTCCACTGGTAGGATCACGCAGGAGCTGGCTTACTAGAAGGAAGGCATAACTGATAGGCTGGGGCATCCGGTGGTGTTACAGAGGGAATGGAAGGCATGGTGAATCTGAAAAGAGGATGTTTTCTGCTGTAAAGAGGGGTTTCACAAATAAAACAAGGTGGAACAACAAGTATGAAGGGGGTTAGAAACAGACATTTATTTCCAAGTTCACTGGATAATTAAACTGTGAAACCAAAGGATAATACATGGTAGAGCTAGAAAAGGCATTGGAGAAGAGCTAATTCAACTCACCCACCATCTTTAACTACTACCATGGTCTGCTAGCATTTGATACATGAGAAAAGAGGCTTAAGCTTAAAATGGAAAATTCTTTAACACTGCTCAACATTAAAGATGGAAAGCAAGGAGGGGGACAATCTAGCTGACATGCAACCTTAACTGTCCTTTCAAGAAAAGAGGAATGGAGGCTTCAGGAAGAAATCCTCGACTGATGGGAAGCGCTAGATTAGAAGACTTTCAGGTTCTCTTCAAGCATAAGTGGTCTATACCAAATGATGGGTAGACAGGGAATGGGGAGAGGATGAAAGAAAAGAATACAGAAAAAAGAATTTAATTCTTTTTTAAAAGTCAAGCATAAAACTCACAAAAATAGAGTATCTGCCTCTTTTTTCTTTTATGAGACAGAGTCTTGCTCTGTCACCAGGCTGGAGTGCAGTGGTACCGTCTGAGAGTAGCACCTTCTAGAGAGAGCACCTCCTGCTTCCACAGACACACCTATGCATGCGTCCCAGCTTGGGTAGACACTTATCAGGGGACTGCATTTCACACAGAAACGAATATTTAAACACTTACTAGGTTTTAAATATCATCAAGTGGCAAAGGAGCTGTAGCCAATGTTAAGATGACCTGTCCTGTGGCATCTTTTTCATTGCTTTTCCAGGAAATAAGCAGAAGAAATCAAGAGAAAGTACCGAGATGAAGAGCTCTATTAATCTTGCCTATCCTCTGTCCAGTAACTGATTCCAGAAATTCTGTGTGGGAATTGGGGCTAACCAAAGATTGAGACCTAAACATCCAATTTTGGCCACACAGAGTCTGCCTTTTTACCAAAGTGGAAAATCTTCAACTAAAACACAGAGGCCCCATTGAACTTGCTGAAAACAAGTTTGTAATTTCTCAAGGCTTTCCAAGTTTTAATAATGTATATGATTATTCCATGTGATAGCCTTGGAGAAATTACCTTCATTAACATACTCTCTAATTCTTACGTTGACCTTATTTCTTTATTTTCTCTGTGGGCTCCTTTCACCTCAACCTCCCTGTATCTTTAAGAAAGAGCAACAAATTTCCAAAACATGGTTTTGGAAAGCCCACAATATCATGTCCAAATACCTAGAAAAATATAAATTACATCAGTGTTCTTGGTTATATCTGTACTTATCTGGCTTCTTCTAATGAAGAACACAAGCACCATCTGTGGAGTTTTCCCATCCCATCCTCATTTTTTGGTATGGGAGAGAAGAGTCCATGTTGATGAACAAATGGGCACACCTGACCCGTGTTGAAATGGGAAACTTCCCCAGCAGTGCAAAGTTCTGCTAGGGAAAACTTTAGGACTCCTACCTACCAGGATGTGACTCACTTAGCAGTGGCACTTGAGATAAAGGAGTCCCTCCGGATGTCTAAGCCAGGCCTCTCGAAAGCAAACAGAACTCACAAAACTGGCTTTCCAGGAAATTGAAAGTGAATAGCAAGAGAAAATCGTACTTCTCATTACTTTCACATTTTTGCAAGTTGAATTAGGAAATCCTCATTTTATAATATTGAGAATTTTAGAAATATTGGAGCTAAATCCATACAAGGAGCCCTGAAAGATGTCCCATTATATATTCAAATGACAAACTAGCAACAAAGTCAGACGTGTCATCTTGCTTTGTTTCTTTCATTACATTGATCATTATTTGGAATTATTTGTTGTAATTATTTCTTTACTTATTATTGCCTACATGTTCACTCAGCTGTGAATTTGAAGGCAAGGACCATTTGTGTTTTATGCATGCCACATGCTAAGTGCCCTCCATGATGCCTGGTACATAGTGTTTGCTCAATAAATGTGCGTTGAATGAAGAAATAGATTCCATCTATTTCTGTAAGATTTCAGAGCAAACCAGAGCTGCCTCTTCCTACTAGTTCCATTTCTTTAATCTAGTGACAACCCACTCCCCCTGAGACAATTCAAAGCCGCAGGAAAATTCAAGAACATGCTTTCACTAGAAACTCTCAGATCAAGAGAATGTCCTGAAAAGACCACTGAAGCAGCTCTGAGCTTGCACTGAATTTTGCATATTGTTGGTTGGGAGTTCCTTACGTTATAACACTCCCTCTTTTGAAAATTGACTCCGTTAAAAGGTCAGTGACTCTGGATGAGATGTTTCATTCTTCTCTTCTGGTTTATCGACTCATATTAGGTCAATTCAGCCCAAACACTCGCCATATTCCCATAAGAAGTGAATGAAGTTACTTCAGTTAAAATGTTCAGAAGCTTATGAAAAAGGCCATTCTTTATCTTTGCCATCCCTAATTCAAAAGGGTGTGCTGTTTCCCTAGCTTGGCATGCTTTTTCTAGGTCAGGGGGTTTCTGTGAGATTTCCTGAATTCTGCAAAGAAGAGAGTTTGGAAAAATTTATTGTTTACCACCTCCCAAAGCCTGAAAATAGTCAGTGTTGATCCCTGTACCAAAAACAAACAAACCACCCCCTACACACAAATAACACAGTTTCTTCTGAGTGTGTGGTTCCTGTAATTAGTATGAAGAACTACTTCAGTGCTTCCCTGGAAGACCATTGGGGAATCTCAAATATAAGATAGACTAGCCAGCTGAAACTCTTCTTCGAGTGGCACCCTTGCCCATGAAATCCTCTTTCCCCTATTGCACAAGCCTCTTCCTGCCATTATGTATGGAAATTTCTGAACCCTGCTTTCTCCCTGAAATTTATCCCATTACATCTGAAGAGATGTGGTCATTTAATTTACTTAAATTAATTTTATTTTTAGATGTCACGACTGCTGGTCAATGTGATTTTTAGAGAAAATGTCAACCTTAAATTCGAGGAATCTTTTTCACGAATTGCAAGCTTATGGGAACAGGGGTGATGTCTGACTCACCAGCATATTCCTGGTGCTTGACACCTAGTAGGCATTCAACATACATCTGTTGCATGAATGAATGATAGGAAAGACTGTTATAATCATGTGCCTTCACATATTACCAACTCTTCAGTATTTTCTTGGAATCAACAAGTCTTAGAATAGGAAAACTAAAAGAGGTATCCTTTAGTCCCCAATATGACCACCTCACTTAGAAATGTTAATCTCCCTATTTTCCCCTCCATGTTTCCAGTCTCCTTTACCTGCTCTCCCTTTTTTTTTTAACAATACTTGCAGAGTTTATTATAATGTATTATTTTTAGTTCTCTAATTGGATTGTTAACTTCATAAGGGCAGAATTCCTTGCCTATTTTATTCAGAGCTGCATCCCAAGTACCCAGAACAAAACCCGGCACATACTAAGGGCTCGGTGGTTATTTGTCAAATGAATAAATTAAAAGAAATTTTTAGCATGCACCCCAGGCGTCAGAAGCACTGCAGGTATTTTAAATCCCAGGCCCAATCCCACATCAGTGGAATAAGATGACTTAAGCATATGAATCCAAGGAATCTACATTTTTAACAGGTGATTTTGGTGTAGCTCTTCTGAGAACTGCTAGTTAATCCAACTTACTCACCAGAGATAATCCTGAAACCCAAAAAGACAAAGTGTCTTTCAGTTCATGTGGTAATTCAGCAGTGCATCTAAGTGTTTTAAGTTCTATTTTGATGAGCTTTCTACTCCAGTCATCTTTGAGCTTGGATTTTACCTAATATGTTTACTGCTATCTGAACTCTTGGTCTTTGAGATTAAGCTACTGGAGGCAAAAATTCTGGCTTCTGAGCTTACTTTGCAGTGCATCTCATTAGGCTTAAGGTAATACAGGACTTTTTGAGTCAAATGATACTATTGCGCACAAGAACAGCCCTATTTTCATGCTAACATGCCACTGTGTTTCTTTCTCCTTCTAGTTTCTGGACATCTCCATTAAATGGACCACCCAGGAAATGTTTCCTCCAAAGTACCTTCATTATGACCCAGAAACTTCTCATCAGCTGTTGTGTGACAAATGTCCTCCTGGTACCTACCTAAAACAGCACTGTACAGCAAAGTGGAAGACCGTGTGCGCCCCTTGCCCTGACCACTACTACACAGACAGCTGGCACACCAGTGACGAATGTCTATACTGTAGCCCTGTATGCAAGGAGCTGCAGTACGTCAAGCAGGAGTGCAATCGCACCCACAACCGCGTGTGCGAATGCAAGGAAGGGAGCTACCTTGAGGTAGAGTTCTGCTTGAAACACAGGAGCTGCCCTCCTGGATTTGGAGTGGTGCAAGCTGGTACGTGTCAATGTGCAGCAAAATTAATTAGGATCGTGCAAAGTCAGATAGTTGTGACAGTTTAGGAGAACACTTTTCTTCTGATGACATCATAGGATAGCAAATTGCAAAGGTAATGGAACCTGCCAGGTAGGTACTGTGTGTCTGGAGTACTTCCAAAGGACCATTGCTCAGAGGAATACTTGGCCATGACAGGGCAGTTTAGTGACAAATCTCAAATGCAGCAAATTACTCTCTTATGAGATGCATGATGGATTGCTTTTTTTTTAAGAAACATACTTGAGTTGCACTGTTGATAGTTGATCTGTACCTCTATGTTTCATTTCAGCATGGACACCTTCAAACTAGAGTGCTTTTTGACAAACATCAGAAATGTTAATTTATACCAAGAGAGTAATTATGCTGATATTAATGAGACTCTGGAGTGCTGACAATAAGCAGTTATGATTAATTATGTAAAAAATGAGAACGGTGAGGGGAATTGCATTTCATTATTAAAAACAAGGCTAGTTTTTCCTTTAGCATGGGAGCTGAGTGTCTGGGAGGGTAAAGGCTACAGCAGCATCTCTTCAACGAGCTTATTCTTTATCTCAGACAAAACAGATTGTCAAGCCAAGAGCAATCACTTGTCTATAAACAAAGTATTTTCACTTTTGCATTTTGAACACCATAGGTTAGGGCTCATGTGTATTGAATCTTTTAAACCAGCAACCCACATCTTTTTCTACCACATTGTGAAGCTTCAGTTTAGTCTATAACTTTTCATAGCTTGAGAAAATTAAGAGTATCCGCTTTCTTAGATGGAGGAAGTAACCAGTATAGATTCTGAGGACTCAATTTGAAGCAGTGTTTCTCAACTTCAGCCCTACTGATATTTTAAGAAATATCTGGATTCCTGGGCTGGACTCCTTTTAGCGGGCAGCTGTCCTATGCATTGTAGAATTTTACCAGCATCCCTGGACTCTAGCCACTAGATACCAATCGCAGTCCTTCCCCCATGTGACAACCAAAAATATCTTCAGACATTGTCAAATGTCGTCAGGTGGCAAAATTACTCCTGGTTGAGAACAACAGGGCAATCAATGCTAATTATTTGTAACTAACTTTAACTCTTAAAGGTTGTGATATACAAAGTCTAAATTATTAGATGACCAATAATTTCAGTTTAAAGGCATACAAATGAAACATATTCAAAAATAAAAATCTATTCAGTTTCTCAAATAGTGAATCCTATAAAATTAATCACAGAGGGTGCAAATTGCATGACAGTCCCCGAAAATTCCTCTTAGTGTGAGTATTTGATGATACTGGAATTGGTGATACTTACTACTTTTTATTGGCTGGTACTTGGGACTCAAAAGCTAAGCTAAATTGCAGTGGGTGAGGTGGGGGTGCAGAATACCAGCCAATAAAAGCAAATCTATTTAATTCATTCAGTAAGTTATATATGTAGAAATATTAAATGTGAGCTACACAGCTTGGAAACTAGAAAATTTTGAAAAATAACGGAAATAACAAGGATTTTTCTTAAGTAAACATGAAAATCTGTTTGTAGAATGAACTAAGCAGGCAGCCAGAAGACTCAGAACAAAAGTACACATTTTACTCTGTGTACACTGGCACCACAGTGGGATTTATTTACCTCTCCCTCCCTAAAAACCCACACAGCAGTTCCTCTTGGGAAATAAGAGGTTTCCAGTCCAAAGAGAAGGAAAGATTATGCGGTGTTACTCTAAAAAGTATTTAATAACCGTTTTGTTGCTGCTGCTGTTTTGAAATCAGATTGTCTACTTGCCATGTTTTATTTACTTCATTCTGTTAATTCCTGTGAAATTACTTATAGCAAGCATGATTCTCAACTGTAAAGCCAAATTCTGCCATCATTATATTTCATATTCTGCCTGCCAGGTTATAATTTTTATATTTCCACTGATAGTAATAAGGTAAAAGAATCATTACTTAGATAGATCTTTTTTCATAAAAAGCACTATCAATTATAAAGAGGGAAGTCATGTTCAGGAAGGCCATTAGATAAGCCTCTGAATATATTATGAAACATTAGTTCTATCATTCTTAGAGTCTTTCTGTTAAATAACTTAAAAAGCTAACTTACCTAAAAGAAATATCTGACACCTAAGATCTTATCATTAGGATGCATGAGAAGACTCAAGCTACAGATATGTATCTGAAGAATGACAAGATTCTTAGGCTGAGCATGTTGGCTCATGCCTGTAATCCCAACACTTTGGGAGGCCGAGGCGGTGGATCACCTAAGGTCAGGAGTTTGAGACCAGCCTGGCCAACATGGTGAAACCCTGTATCTACTAAAAATACAAAAATTAGCCAGGCATGGTGGTACATACCCGTAATCCTAGTTACTCAGGAGGCTGAGACAGAAGAATTGCTTGAATCCAGGAGGCTGAGGTTGCAGTGAGCTGCGATCACACCACTGCACTCCAGGCTGGGTGACACAGACGAGACTCCATCCCCCTATCCCCCTCAAAAAAGATTCTTCTTCATGCAGAGTATATGTCAGTCAACAAAGGGAGACCTGAGCCCAGGTGTCCAAGTCACTTATTTCTAGTTAATTAGCAATGAAAGAACACCATGGAATCCCTGCCCAAATAACCTCTGCTTATGATATTATAGAATTTGGTGTAGAGTTGGATCCCATTAAGGAGTAGTATGTAGTAGAAAAGTACTAAAAACAAACACAAAAACAAACACAAAAAAGTCCTCACTGCAATGCTGGAAATAACATTTAATCTGTGAAGGTTTTAGGCTGTGGTTTCCCCTCCTGCTCTTTTTTTTCTGCAGCCCTTTGTCATTTTTACAGGTCAATGAATCATCCATCCCTTTAGAAAGGAAAGAGACAGGAGATGAAACTGGAACCAATCCATTTTGCCCCCTTTTTTATTTTCTGGTTTCGGTAAAAGGTATAATGAGGTAGGAGGTTGAAACTTTTTATAAATGAAGTGTAATAACTTTCTGTAGCTTTCATTTGTCTCTTTCATATGTGTTATATTGTATAAGCCAGAATTAGCCTGTAAAATATCCATATGAATATTGAAGTCTAAATCTGTTCAACTAGCTTACACTAGATGGAGATATTTTCATATTCAGATACACTGGAATGTTTGATCTAGCCACGCATAATATAGTCAAGTGTTTGAAGATATTTATTTTTAAAAGCATCTTTAGTTGTTGACTGGTTCAAATTTTCCTGCCAATGATTTTTTCAAATTTATCAAATATCTTTCCATCATGAAGTAAAATGCCCTTGCAGTCACCCTTCCTGCTGCAGACTCTGCTCTCTTAAACAGTTTAAGCAAATAGTATATCATCTTCCGTTTACTATGTAGCTTAACTGCAGGCGTACACTTTTGAGTCAGCGGCCAACTTTATTGCCACCTTCAAAAGTTTATTATAATGTTGTAAATTTTTACTTCTCAAGGTTAGCATACTTATGAGTTGCTTCACGATTAGGATTCAGGAAAGAAAGAACTTCAGTAGGAACTGATTGGAATTTAATGATGCAGCATTCAATGGGTACTAATTCTGAAGAATGATATTACAGCAGACACAGCAGTTATCTTGATGATTTTCTAGGAATAATTGTATGAAGAATATGGTTGACAACAATGCCTTACTGCCACTCAGCAGAGGCAGGACTAATGAACATCCTACCCTTCTTTCCTTTCCTCTCACTTTTCATGAGCCTTTTGTAGGTAATGAGAAAACTGACTTGCATTTGTATTACAAGGAGAAGAAGCTGCCAAAGGGGATGATGGCGGAAGTTTTGTTCTCTGTCTAATGAAGTGAAAAATGAAAATGCCTAGAGTTTTGTACAACATAATAGTAGCAGTAAAAAACAAGTGAAAAGTCTTTCCACAACTGTATTAAGAGGGCATCTGTTGGGAAAGGATGTGAGAAGGTACTAAATTGCTTGGTATTTTCCGTAGGAACCCCAGAGCGAAATACAGTTTGCAAAAGATGTCCAGGTGGATTCTTCTCAAATGAGACGTCATCTAAAGCACCCTGTAGAAAACACACAAATTGTAGTGTATTTGGTCTCCTGCTAACTCAGAAAGGAAATGCAACACACGACAATCTATGTTCCGGAAACAATGAATCAACTAAAAAATGTGGAATAGGTAATTACCTTCCAAAATATATCTTGGTATGATTTTGTAGTATCATCTCTCTCTGAGTTGAACACAAGGCCTCTGTCTGCATTCTTGGTCAAACTCACATTTTCCCTTTCTTGAATCTTAACTAGCTAAGGCTACTCTCAATGCATCACTGCTAAAGCTACAACTCAGAATTTCTCAAAACGTCATCTTCTCACAGATAACACCTCAATGCTTGAATTTCTCTCCTTTCACACTGAAATCAAATCTTACTAATAGGCAAAGGGCTAAAGTATAAATTGGCAGCTAAGAAGCAAAGTGATATAGAAATGATGACAAATTAGGCCAGGTGTGGTGGCTTACACGTGTAATCCCAGCAGTTTGGGAGGCCAAGGTGGGCAGATCACTTGAGATCAGGAGTTCAAGACCAGCCTGACCAACATGGTAAAAGCCTGTCTCTATTAAAAATACAAATATTAGCTGGGCATGGTGGCAGGCACCTGTATTAGCAGCTACTTGGGGCTGAGGCAAGAGAATTGCTTGAACTCAGGAGGCGGAAGTTGCAGTGAGCTGAGATCATACTACTGCACTCCAGCCTGAGCAACAGAGGGAGACTCCATCTCAAAAAAAAAAAAAATATACAAATTAGAAATGTGTGCTTGGCTTTGTTATCTATGGTATTAGTGCATCTATTGCATGGAATTTCCAAGCTACTCTGATTGTGTTAAGCTTTTCATTGCGTACAGATCACTAGTATCATTTCTTGATTAAACACAAAAAAGAAAATCATCTTTAGTTATTCAAATGCATTCCATGGTAGTGATGACAATTCATCAGGTTAGTGTGTATGGTCACCTTGTCACTCCCACCACTAGGCTAATATCAGACCTTCATTCAAAGATGCATCACACTAAAAATGATTTTCTTTTTGTGTTTAATCAAGCAATGGTATAAATCAGTTTGACTCTCCCCAAATACTTTTTTGTACTACAGAGAAGTTTATGAAGCATAGGAATGCAGATTGATATATAAATGAGATTCTAACCCAGTTCCAACATTTTTTCACTGTGTAATTGAAATTGTATGTAAGTCATCTAGCCTTTCTGTTTTCTTATCTTAAAAAAAGAATGAAGGAAGGGGTATTAAAGGGGTTGATCAAATTTTAACACTGTCTTTAATTTAATTCATTTTTAAATGTACTTTTTTCATTTATTAAGCACTTACTATGTAGTACTGTGCTATAGAAGCTTTAATATTTACGAAAACACTGTGTAAGTTGCTTTAGATGAAATAGGGATAGTGGAATGAAATAGGATAGAACTAGCATTCAAAGCCAGGTCTGATGATTCCAAAAACAAACTCCCATTACTCACATTTTTTGGGACATACTTATGCTACCCAGATTCTCTGGCCTTTGTAATGCTTATGTAAATAACATAGTTTTATGTTTGGTTAGTTTCCCATGTAATGGCTACTTATGTATCTGTGTCTATCTCTTGCCTTGTTTCCAAAGGTAAACTATGTGTCTGGATGTGGGCATAAAATAACATTCTATTTTAAATTACTGTTCAAATTCCTTAAAGTCAGTGATAATATTTGTTTTGACATTTATCTTGAAGTTCCCTGTGGGCAATAGGTAAACCTTTAACAGAATGTTAATATTTGTATTCAATTATAAGAATTTTTTACTGTAACTTATTTGTAGCAATATTTCATTCTAATTAGACATTTACTAACTTTCTCTTGAAAACAATGCCCAAAAAAGAACATTGGAAGGCACATAAGCTCAGTTGGTCTTTGCCACTAAGACTAGCCAACAGAGGCTTGATTTTATTCAAGCTTTACATTTTAGCATATTTTATCTTGCAAAATTCAATTGTGTGGGCCTTTTTTTTCTTTTAGTTTGTATTGAATAGACTTTCAGAAATCCAACTGTTGAGTAAATCTTGGTTTTCTAACCTTTCTTTAGATGTAACCCTGTGTGAGGAGGCATTCTTCAGGTTTGCTGTTCCTACAAAGTTTACGCCTAATTGGCTTAGTGTCTTGGTAGACAATTTGCCTGGCACCAAAGTAAATGCAGAGAGTGTCGAGAGGATAAAACGGCGACACAGCTCGCAAGAACAGACTTTCCAGCTGCTGAAGTTATGGAAACATCAAAACAAAGACCAAGATATGGTCAAGAAGATCATCCAAGGTATGATAATCTAAAAATAAAAAGATCAATCAGAAATCAGAGACACCCATTTATCATAAATCAGGAACAAGATTGCATGGCTGTTAAGTTGTATGGATCACTTTTCCCTGTTGGAATCATTGTTGGACTGGAAAAGTTTCCATCAACTGATAATGTAGATGTGATTCCAAAAACAGTTATGCAAGGTTTTGTACTCACCCCTGCTCCCCAGTTTCTTTGTAAAGTATGTTGAACACTCTAAGAGCAGGGAAATGCATTTCAAGTCAGGACTATATCTCAGGGAATATGCTGCCGGATCCCTTAGTTCTTCTATAAACACCCTCTCTAGATGACCAAGGAGAAGCTCTTTAACCATTTTGAAACATACATTGCATCTTCACCAAGAAGCTCCGTTTTATTTCCCTGCTAATTCTCTCCAGGTAGGCTCTATGTATCTTACAAATATCCTCTTATTAATCCTCATGATATGGCCTATATTAAATTACCATTTTAATAGCATATGTTGTGACGATTAATGAGATAAAGTCTAAAAAGCGTTTGAGACTCATGTAGGAAAAAGCTACTTAAAGCGAAACATTCTCACATATTATAGGTTTATATAAAGATTCTCCTTTACAAATGGTAAGAGAGAGAAAGAGAGAAGAGAGAAGTGGGAAAGAATCTGAAGAAAATGAGTTTCATCCTGTGTACTGTAAGCTTTAGGACACAGGATGGAAAGAATTCTGGCTTCAGTTAGCATTGGGAGGACATGCTAGAAGAAAAAGGATGGAGGCTTTCCATAATGCAGACAAGGTCAAAGAGAAATTCATTCTGGTCCTCACCAGTAGTTAAATGACTTGCATAGTCTTGCACAACCCTAAAAACTTCAAGTATCTAAAACCTAGGCAACAGATTTTAGGACACCAATGTCTTTGAGAGTTGAACACTTTTATTTATGCAAAGAGTAAACTTTTATTCTGTCTTGGGCAAACCAAAAGTATTCTTTGAACATATAATTAGCCCTGAAGCCAAAAGAAAAGAGAAAATCAGAGACTGTTAAAATTGGAAGCAACCAAATTCCCTATTTTATAAATGAGAACATTTTAGCCCAGAAAGATGAACTGATTTGCCTTAGGGTTCGCAGATACTAAATGACTCATGTCATTAATAGAAATGTTAGTTCCTCCTCTTAGGTTTATATCCTAGCTTATTACTGAAATATTCTCCAGACTGGGTGTTTCCTTCAGTTCCTTGACCTCATATTTTTGGGTTTTCGGATATCCTCTTCATGGAGATAGTCCTCTAGTGCTATGCGTATTCTTTAAAGACTAGTTAGAGCAATGAGCTTATCAACTAGTGCCTACTAATGAAAGTTTATATTACAAAGCTAACTTGAATACTTTCCTTTTTTTCTGAAATGTTAGGGTTTTAATTTCTCAAACTTTTCTTAGGAAACAGTGATGTGTGTTATTTTCTATTGTTAATTTTCAAAATTAGGGGCTTCACCCACAGTTTTGTTGGATGCCAAGAATATATAGCATACTATCTTATTATAACAAAAAACAATATTTATCTCAGTTCTTAGAAATAAATGGTGTCACTTAACCCCCCCTCAAAAAAAAGAAAAGGCTACCATTGAAATATAATTATGAAATTCTGTGAGAACCTTTTCCCTCAGGCTGGTTTTATGATGGCATTGGATGAATATAAATGATGTGAACGCTTCTTTGGGCTTTTGCTTTATGCAGATATTGACCTCTGTGAAAACAGCGTGCAGCGGCACATTGGGCATGCCAACCTCACCTTCGAGCAGCTTCGTAGCTTAATGGAAAGCTTACCGGGAAAGAAAGTCGGAGCAGAAGACATTGAAAAAACAACAAAGGCATGCAAATCCAGTGAGCAGATCCTGAAGCTGCTCAGCTTGTGGAGAATAAAAAATGGTGACCAAGACACCTTGAAGGGCCTAATGCACGCGCTAAAGCACTCGAAGACGCACCACTTTCCCAAAACTGTCACCCAGAGTCTAAAGAAGACCATCAGGTTCCTTCATAGCTTCACAATGTACAAATTGTATCAGAAGTTATTTTTAGAAATGATAGGGAATCAGGTCCAATCAGTAAAAATAAGCTGCTTATAACTGGAAATGGCCATTGGGCTGTTTCTTTGCAATTGGCCGGATCTCATGGATGAGTAAGCTGTTCTCAGGCACTTGCGGGGTTCAGTGATTTCTTTCTCATCACCAATGACTGATTTTGCCACAGGACATTAAAAGAAACTATGATGTGGAGAAAGAACTACTATCTCCCCAAATAAACCCCAAATGGTTAATCAAACTGTCAGATCTGGTCCGTTATCTACTGACTATATTTTCCCTTATTGCTGCTTGCAGTAATTCAGCTGGAAATTAAAAAAAAACAAAACAAAACTAGACTCCATTGTGCCTTACTGAATATGAGAATGTCTAACTTAAATAGCTTTGAGACTTCAGCTATGCTAGAGGCTTTTATTAGAAAGCCATATTTTTTTCCGTAAAAGTTACTAATATATCTGTAACACTATTACAGTATTGCTATTTATATTCATTCAGATATATAAGGTTTGTACATATTATCATCCTATAAAGAAATGGTATAAGACTTAATTTTAGAAAGAAAAAATTATGTTTATGACAGAAGCGATAAAATATATATTTTTAATGGGAAGTTTGTAGCATTTTTCTAATAGGTACTGCCATTTTTTTTCTGTGTGGAGTATTTTTATAATTTTATCTGTATAAGCTGTAATATCATTTTATAGAAAATGCATTATTTAGTCAATTGTTTAATGTTGGAAAGTATATGAAATATAAATTATCTGAATATTAGATGCTCTAAGAAATTGAATGTACTTTATTTAAAAGATTTTGTGGTTTTATAACTATATAATTGACATTATTAAAGTTTTCAAATTATTTTTTATTGCTTTTTCTGTTGCTTTTATTTGAATGGGACATTAATAGGTTTGAGCTTGCATAATTTCCCTGTTTTCACCAACAACACTTGGGAAGTGTTAAAAATGCAGATTCCCAGACCAATTTGTTCAAAAACTCTGGCGAGGAGAGCAGAAACTTGCATTTTTAGTAAGTTCCAAAGTAATACTTATTACATTAAATCTGGAGAACTTCTGAAGTCAGCCTTAGATTACAGATAGTGCAGGCCACTTACAACTGCTGCCACCAACCTTGAGACACCAAACTATGTATGCTCTTTTGACAGCAAATAACAGAAACTAGCACTACTTAGTTTAAGAAAAAGGAAAAAAGAATAATTGGAAGAGTAGTGTGTTGATTGAGTTGAATGGTGGTCGCCCAAAAGAGATTTTCATAATTCCCAGAATCTGTGAACTTTATTTAGTAAAAGTGTCATTGTAATTAAGTTGAAGATCTTTAGATGAAGAAATCATTTTGGGTTATTCAGGTGGGCCTTAAATCCAATGACAAATGTCTTTATGAGACAGAGTAGACAGAGAGAAGGTGATGTGAAGACAGAGGCGGAGGTGGAACTGATATAGCTGTAAATCAAGGAAGCTGAGAGCAGCCAGCAATGGGCTACCCCCACTCTGCTGGAGCCTCTGTAGGGAGCGGGGCTCTGCTGACATCTGGATTTTGGAATTCTGGCCAGCAGAACTGTGAGAGAGTAACTTTCTATTGTTTGAAACCATGCAGTCTGTGGTAATTTTGCTGCAGCAGCCACAGGACACTAATTGAGATGGTATCCAGGCTTTAGAAAGAGCACAATCAATGTTTTTTGGGGATGGTGGGTGGTGGCTCAAATTTTTTTATTTTCAGAGCCTGCAACAATTGCTTAGCAATGCTGGTACAATCTAAGGGTCATCCCACCTTTATCTTTAGGTATTTGACCAACAGAATCTTTTGCAAACAAGATCACAGACCAGTTGCAATCTGCCTCAATGTGTGTGTGGGAAGAGGTCGTCTCTTTCACATACTTTTCCCATTTTTATAGCCAAATGCAACTAAAACCCATAACATAGCAACTAGCTATCTTCACTATCACTGGTTCCTTCTATTCCCAGAATAGGAAGTTAAGGTAAGAGGGGAGAGACTATCTCCTTTTGTAAAAACCCAGCCACACCTCAGTGAGGCTAGCACTGGAGGACGGAGATTAGTAGGCACTAAAACAGACCTCTCTAGAACTCTGGGTCCTTTGGGGCAGAAGTTCCAGCTCTTTCTCCTAGTCAAACATCTTTGTATCTTTTAGTTATAAATTCCAAATTTCCAGTAAAGAGATTGTAATTATCGTAGGTCGAGACTGATGTAAAGACATGAAAATTGAGGATCTGTCCTTATCAGTTGTACTTCTCAAGAAGAAGATATCATTGTGAACAGGGCCCTGTAACTACTTCCTATCTCTTCCTCCTCTATATCCTCTTCTTCACTTTACTATGACTTAGAATTCAGAGTTGACACAGACCATCCCTTTGAAAGCAGACTTGTGAAATTAGATCAGTTATGGCCACCTTGATAGAAGACTACACCTAGGTAAATATCACACAGACTCATAAACCCGGAAAAATTAAAAGTGAAGGTGAAGCCAAGAGGTTCTAACCTGGGGAACAGGCCTCCCACTGTTGCAATACTGCACATGACAAAAGTGGTGGAAATTGCATCCTGATGGTAGAAGCAGAAGGCCAAGAGTAAACTAACAGCCTTCATTTGTCCTTAAGCAGCACCAGTTCTTCCTTCAAAGTTCTTTGCGGAACATGAAATAGACTACACAACTCCACAAAGTTTAAGAAAAGTTTGAAAGTTCATGGCATCAAGGCTAAATTATTCAAATGCTTATTTGATGGGCCTCCCTGGCTGCTCCTTTGGGTTCAGTTTGCCTTGAGCTTCTCTTCCAGGGGAGATAAAATTTGTAAATATCATGCCAGTCCATTTTTTTCTATTTTTTAAAATTTAATTCTAAATTCATTTTAGATTTACAGAATCACTGAAAATATAGTAAATAGTTTTCTAGTATATACTTCACCTAGCCTCATCTGAAATTATTTTTCATTACTATTATTCACTTATTAAAAGATATTAATCTTAGCATAATACTGTTAACCAAACTCCCAATTTTACTGAAATTTTCCCAGTGTTTCTAGTGGTGTTCATCTTCTGTTCAAGACCAGTTGAAGAGCCCATGTTGCATTTCATTATCACTTCTCCTTAGTGTCCTGAAATCTGTAATAGTTTCTTAGCCTGTGTTGTCTTTCCTCAACTTGATGCTTTTTGAAGAGATGTGATCAGTTCTTTTGTAAAACATCCTTCAATTTTTGTTTTTGTGATGTTTTCTCATGAATACACTGAGGTTATGGGTTTGGGAAACAATACTGTGAAATCCATAACTCTTCTCATTGCATCCGATCAGGGGCCATATCAGCATGACTAATTACTGTTGACGTTAATTTAAATGTGATAACTTGGTTAAAATGGCTTTGCCAGGTTTTTCCACTGTAACATTACTATTTTCTTCTTTATGTATTCTATTCATTAGAATTAGTTAGAGCATTAGATCTAGTCTACACTCAAGGAAAGGAGAATTAAACTCTTCATATTGGAAAAAGAGATTTCAAGGAATTTGTGATCATATATTAAAACTACCAAAGATTTAGTCGCTTTAGGGAAGAGATTCTGGAAGGCTTTGAAAATACCATTTCTTCTTAAAGATTCTTCCACTGATTTTAGCATTCAACAATCAATTTTGCCTGCAGCAATTGTTACTGTGCTTTTCTAATGGGGATTTTCTATTTCCTTCATGTCCCCTACATTTAAATACTTCCATTTTCTTCTCCCTATTTGTGTCGATCATTTATTTATATGCTTAGGGACTCAAGAATATTAATGTTATTCTTTGGATTACATTCCAATACTATCACTATGTTTCTCAAATTGTTTCAGCTTTGGCTATTGGCTCTTGTTTCCTTTCAATATGGCTCTCCCCACTCTTTTATTTTCTTGAGCATTTTGTGCTTTCTGGCACTAGCAGATTCTCCATACTCATCTTGCATTTCCTCTTCCCCAACCCTAGAATAAGGCATTTTTCTTTTTATTGTAAAATGGTATTTAAAAACCACAATCCAGGTGCTAGGTGTGCTGTTTGCCACTGAGGTATCACTGCTTATAGGACATCTCAGTAAACAGAGCAAGTAAATAATATGTATGTTAACCATGTATGTTTACACATACTTATTTCTGTATCTGTATACATATATATTCTATGTAACACACAACAGCTATATAAGTCACTGGGTTCATTCTAGCCTTCACTCTCCTTCCTTCTGATTATTTGTGTTATCCTTCTGACAGTGAAAAACATGGCTCACATAATATATAATGTATTTATTTGTTAACCACAGATGCATGTAAAGTATTTTCAGATTTTCTAATGGATATCCCTGTGAGAAACAAATTTATCAACTAGAATATACTGTAGTATTAATTTACAGTTCTTTTTGTCTTCAGCTTTACAGTATCCATTCAAAATGTTTTTCAAAATCACTTGTGCCAGCTCTTTTGCCCTCATCCCCTTCTGTAAACTTATGTCATATATTGAAATAATTACATTTAATTCTTACAGTCTACATTCTAACCTGGTGAATCACCCTATACTGAATTTTTTTTAAATTTGCATACAATTAAATACTTCTTGTGGCAAACCAATGGTTTTTACGACAGCATAAAATCATGTATCCACATATATATTACCGTCATCAGTTTCATTACCCTAACAATGTCTCTGGGTAGGTCCTCTGTAGTCTGTGTCCCCTCCACTAACTTCTAGCAACCATTGAACTATTTCCCATTCTTGTAATTTTGCCTTTTCTAAAATGTTATATAAACTGAATCATACAATATATTGCCTTTTGTGACTATTTTCACATAGTGAAAAGCATTAAACATTCCATTCATATTGCTATATGAATTAATAGTTTGCTCTTTTATCTTTTTGAGTAACATTCCATTAAACGGATGACCATTGTTTTGGTTTTCCATTCACCTACTGAAGTATATCATAGTTATCTGCTATTTGAGATGATTATGAATAAAGTTAGTATAAATTTTGCATACTAATTTTTTTGTGAACAAGATTGCTGGGTTATATAATAAGTTTATGTTTAAATGTAAGAAACTGCCAAACACTGTTCCAACTTGGCTGTACTATTTTGCATTTCCTCCAACAATAAATGAGAGTTCTTATTGCTTTACATTCTTGCCAGAACCTCATTTTGTCAGGTTTTATTATTTAATTTTAGCCATTCTTAAATTGTTTTGCGGGATCTTATTGTGCTCCTAATTTGCATTTGTCTAATGACTAATTGAATTAGTTTACTAGAGCTGCCATAATAAAATACCACAGACTGGGTGCTGAAACAACAGAAATTTATTTTCCACATTTCTGGAGGCCAGAAGTTCAAAATCAAGGTTCTGTCAGGCTTGGTTTCTGGTGGAGCCTCTTTTCCTGGTCTTTAAATGGCTGCTTTTGCATTGCGCATTGTATCAGCATATGGCCTTTCCTCTGTGCACATGCAGAGGGGAAGCGCTCGGGTCTCTTTCTCTTAAAACAGCACTACGTGATTAGGGTCCAACCCTTATGACTTCACTTAAAATTAATTATCTCCTTGTAAG